TTGCCCTAGGGAAATCTCTGACTCCACCCAATCCAGTCCTCAGCTGCTGAAGGCCTCCTTGTAATGCCAATTAGCCATTACCTGAATACCATCACATGTGGCGAGGCTCAGATAATCCTTCGAGTAAAAGACTCGTTCCTACAACGGTTAGACTCAAACAAGAGCTGCGCAATAGGTCCAAATCTAGCACTCTGAGATTATTCAACCCTGTTCACATGTGACGTGACGTATTCACCTAATGGCTAATTCCCATCACTCCGAGTCCCACAAAGCACGAAGCAAGCAACATTCAGACACAGGAGACTACTCAAGCAATTCTATCCTCATAACAAGAAACTGTACTAGCATACAATGCTAAGCTCATACTATCAGGCATAACCTAAACAGACTATCCTACTGCTGTCTACTCAATACTAGCATGCAATTCTCATATAGCTGAAACACATATAACAGGCACATAAGGCATCCTCCTAGATCCTTAGTCCTATTCTAGCATGCTGTTCTACTGAAACTGAAACTGATGATCATAACATAAACTTGTATGGGTAATTTGGGAGTACTTACTTGAGCTCGGCCGATCGCATGCACCACACCCTTTTCCTTTTCTCAAAACTCTTTTCTTTTTAAGTTTCTTTTTCGAAAACATTTTTCTTTTGAAAAATCTTTTACCGTTTCCTTAGTTTGAGTCCAGTCATACCCGAAAGTGTGCCTGAATCCCTCAAACCAAGGCTCTGATACCAACTTGAAACATCCCAAAATACGACCCAAAATTTTTTGTTTTAATATTACTAAAATCACATCATCGAATGTCATACATACTAAGAACCATAGAGTGAGTAACTCAAAAGTCAAGTAACTGTGTCAAAACAAATACTGTATCAATCATATCGAAATATCTGAATAAAACTCCCAGGATAAAACTGAAACTGTAGTGTGTGCCATGCCATCATCCCGAGCTCTTCCCTTTACTTGCGGAAGTACCTGAAACCAAAAACTGAAACTGTAAGCACAAAGCTTAGTGAGTTCCCCCAATCTACCACATACCATACAATAACATATAAAACAACTAATGGGCCTTGCCCACTACATCGGACCGAAGTCCGGAAACTGCATCGGACCGAAGTCCGGAACTAACCAGGGCCTTGCCCTCTGCATCAGACCGAAGTCCGGAAATTGCATCGGACCGAAGTCCGGAACTAACCAGGGCCTTGCCCTCTGCATCGGACCGAAGTCCGGAAACTGCATCGGACCGAAGTCCGTAACTAACCAGGGCCTTGCCCTCTGCATCGGACCGAAGTCCGGAAACTGACTGAACATGGCATAGCATAATCATAACTACTAACATAGCACATATACTGCATACTGCATCGGACCGAAGTCCGGAACACATAACATAAAGACATGCTTGAATCACAAAGACATCAAGGACACTGGACTACTGCATCGGACCGAAGTCCGGAACTACTGCTAACTAAACGGGCCGGCATTGTGGCCGTAGACCCGTTCCTACTGGAAGGAAACTCACCTCGTAAGCTGGATGCTGAAAAAGCTACTCGGGAACTGTCTGCTGCTGCTCCGGTATCTCCCCGACTACAATTCCCATAAATATACTCAATCAAATACTGATAACTAAACTGGGGGTGAAATGACTATTTTACCCCCGGTCAAAGTCAACTTCCTGGTCAAAGTAAATCTCTAGTTGACCGGACTCGCCGAGTTGGGCCGCCAACTCGCCGAGTCCCTTTCATCCGTTCTAGTCCTCTACTCGCTTCTACTCGTCGAGTTTGGCGAAGACTCGACGAGTTCTTCTTCGATACATACATCGAGTCTAACTTCATCCGACTCGCCGAGTTGTATGAACAACTCGTCGAGTTCTCCTTCATCATATGAACATGTCCAGGCTGCGACTCGCCGAGTCGCAAGAACAACTCGTCGAGCCTGAAGAACAACTCGCCGAGTCCCAAGCATGCTATTACTATACAGTCGATTCTAATCGATTTCAGTGCTTCCAAATCATAGATCTAAGCTCTTAAGGTTGGTTTTACACGTAAAGTTTCCAACTTTATGTGCATGCATGAAGAAATGAGGCTAGAACATCAAAATAAGCTAACAATGGGGTCTTAGGGTTTGGAACTCGACCTTGGGTGCATACCAGAAATGGGGCGTTACACGACGAGTAGGAGCTGGCAGTGGAAACCCTAATTTTCAGGGTTTTGCACCCTATATATTGGACCATTAGCGCCTCCCACTGTCCTCTATCACCCTCTTGAGACCCAGAAACCCTAATTTCCGTGAGTGAGAGCTTGGAGAGTGTTTTGAAGCTTTGGGAAGTGACTTTTGTGATGAAAATTTGTAGATCAAGAGGCTAGCATCAAGATTTCTGTGTGGATCCAGAGTCTACTTCAGTTTGGGCACGTTTTGGAGGTAACCAGCTGTTACCTTAACCTCTTTTCTTCTAGAATCATTCATATGTGGAAACTAGGGCTTTCTCTAGTTATTCATGAAGGGATTTTGGTATGGGAGCTAGATCTGAAGTTGAAACTTCAGATCTGAACCTCTTTTGAGTCCTAAGTCCATAAATTTTCCAGCTCTTGCAAGGATGAGACTCTCCTATGGTGTAAAGCTCCATTAGAAGCTTAGATTGGCCATTTAGAGCCTTTAGGGCCTTGCATGCGTGTAAAGTTTGCAACTTTACGTGATAAACATGCCTTAGAAGCTTGGATCTGTAATCTGGAACCTTGGCATGGCTTGAAAAGTGTCTGCATGGACGAAGGTCTGCAAGGACTCGGCGAGTTGCATAGTCAACTCGACGAGTCATATGAAGATGGTCTTGAACTCGTCGAGTTGATGAACAAACTCGGCGAGTCCGTTGAAGATTACCTTGAACTCGGCGAGTCGTTCGAAGACTCGGCGAGTCTGCTAGGGTTTCTCCCAATTCTTGGACACGTATGAACTCGGCGAGTTAAAGGGGAACTCGACGAGCCAATCAAGGATTTCATGACTTCTCGAGTTCAGGAAGGACTCGATGAGTCGGTGAACTGCACTCGACGAGTCGAGTCAGCATGGACTGTTGACTTTGACTGTGGACTTTGACTTTGACCAAGAGTTGACCAGTTGACTTCTGAGGGTATTATGGTAATTTGGAGATTTATGAAAAAAGGGTTTTATGGTAACTATAGGTGGTGGAGTTCGTGTTGGTGATCCGGGAGTTGAGCTTTCTAGTTTCAGACGACAGTTGCAAGGTGAGTTATCCTCACTATACTAAGGGGTCTAAGGCACCAAGGCCGGCCCATTGGATATGTTATCCTAGCAGTGTTAGATGTTGAGTATAAGTTAGTGTTGCATGCTAGTAGTTATGCCAGTTAGGTAGACCTGTAGGACTACCTGTGATGTTATATGATTATTGCATGCTCAGTGGTTATGTGGTATGTTATATGTTATATGGGATGGGTTAAGGTTGTACTGCTCCGTGCGGTAGCCAACAGACCTTAGGAGCATTCCAGTTACGGGCTAAAGGGAGACTCGTACTGTGGGCTCGGGAGCATTCCAGTTACGGGCTAAAGGGAGGCTCGTACTGTGGGCTCAGGGGTAATCCAGTCTGTAAAGCTGGGGACCCATTACATGTTTTTTCAGTTTGTTATGATATGTTTATATGGACTGTATGTGTATCAGTATTTTGGGGGAACTCACTAAGCTCTCGAGCTTACAGTTTCAGTTTATTATTTCAGGTACATCAGGGGATCGCGGCAAGGCGAAGGCGTGATCGTACAGCTCCTCATGTTTTGTCTATGTTTCTGGGAAAACTCTGATATTATACATTTTGAAAACAAAGTTGTAATGATTTTAATGGTTTGAAATGTTTTTAAAAAGTTTAAATTGGTTTGAATTTTTGGGTGTTTCACATCTCAAACTGGCCTCTATCAGACCTCATATTTGTTTTTGTTCCGAACAAACTGGATGAGGTTTGTCGGGAAGAAGATATGTCTAACATCTTGCGAGTATCAAATGAAGACCGCAAGTGAGTGCTTACATCGCTGTAATAACTGCATGAAAATGTGGAAATAATAAAAGCTCGCAAGATTGGATTGTCACGTATGCCTATTGGTTTCATTTTGTCAGAAAAAAAAAACAAATTCGCGACCAGAATTTGTTGTGGACCTGATGGTCCTTGTCTATTCATTTGGAAAAAATGGTCCTAACTTCAAAATATGGTATCTTTATAAATAGCTCGTTTTTTATTAGTTATCCAAATATCCAATCTAGTCTCACTACAAGAAAATTTCGATTTAACTACGGAAAAATTCGGTAGCAAAATGATGTAATTCCGTAGCTAAACCTAAATAACTACGGAAGTTGCTACGGAATTTGCCAATGAGATTCCATAGTAAGATTTCTTGTAGCAAAATGTTTAACTACAAAATTATAGTTTCGTAGCAATTTTGCTATGGCCGTTGCTACGACGTTTATCCGTAGTATTTCAACTACAACACACTTCCATCACAATTCCGTAACAATGAATTATGTAGCAAATTCCGTATCTATTTTGTTCCGTAGCAAATTCCTTAGCCATTTGGTCCATAGCAAATTTCGTAGCTAATTGTTCCGTAGCAAAGTCCGTAGCCATTTGGTCCGTAGCAAATTCCGTAGCCATTTGGTCCATAGCAAATTCTGTAGCTAATTGTTCCGTAGCAAATTCCGTAGCCATTTGGTCCATAGCAATTTCCGTAACTAATTGTTCCGTAGCAAATTCCGTAGCCATTCGTTCCGTAACAAATTCCGTAGCCATTCATTCCGTAGCAAATTTCGTAACAACTTTTTTGTAGTCAATTCCATAACAATCGTTCCATACCATTTTTTCTATAAAATTCGGTTATTTAATTTGACTTATTATATCAATTTACAAAAATACAATTAATATAAAACCAAAAATAACAAAGTATTTCTATAGAAACTAAAAAGAAATATCCAATACATCAAAAGATACATATTTCAAAATCAAAAGTCGCTACAAATTTAACGTAAAACATTATTCGATACATAATATTCTATCATTGATTAATAAAAGTTTTGACCTGTTCACTCAATGTGTTAATGACATTCATGGCTTGTGCAAGTTGTTGTTCAAACTTTGCTTGAACATCCACATTTTTCTGCTGAAACTCCACATTCTTTTTCTGAGCATCCTCATATTTTTGCTGAACATCCTCATATTTTTGTTGAATATCTTCATATTGTTCGCGTTGTGTCTCAACTAACTTCTTCAAATTCTCAATCTCGACTTTTGTCTCGACATTATTTCCACAAACCAAAACCCAACAATGTCAAAAGGTAAGGAAAGGCTAACTGTAGACTATCTAACCCATGTTCACCTTAAAAAGAAATCACAATAATACAATTGCAAATTACAAAATCACATATTGAATTTTAAATTATTGATAACAATTTCTCAATCATATATATAATAATATAAAGATATAGTACATCACAAAGAGCTTAAAAGAAAACGAAGAGAACAATGCACAATATGGACTTAGAATTGCTTCTGTTTTGGATTTACAGTAAAAATAGAGGCATTTCTTTTTTACTTTGTTGTTGACTTATTTACTACATACTTAAGTATTAAACTCCTCTCCAATACTATAGCCTCAGTAAATATATGATGAAAGTAACTGCCTGATGTCCTCTTAGTATCCACATATTTCACTCTAGCCACCTTTCAACAAAGATGATTTAAATACCAGTTGTCCAAACAACACTCGATGGTAAAAAGAGAAACACAACATAAGTATGTTTAAGAACTGAATGGCTAAAGAAGAGACTTGAGAAAATGAAAGTGAAGGTAATAGTGTCTGAAATAGAAGAAAAATGCATTCAAATACCATTAGAGACGGTATGATTCTTGTAAATAAGTTTGAGTAAAATTACAACTTTGGCCCTGCATTATGTCGAAAGTTATGGTTTTAGTCCGGCTGTTTCATTGATTTACATGCGTGGTCCCTAATGAAAACCATACAATCTCTTTTTTTTTTTAACTCTGACATGTAACCAAATTCAACCAAAACTAAAAAATCAAAATTGAACAAAATCATGATCTAAAAGTCCAATAAAATCTAACCTAAAATCAAATGTTTTCTCAGTTTAATGATTAGAAACATTAGGGACCACATCTGGACCTAAACCACAACTTTTGACATACCACAGGGGAAAAAGCCGTAATTTACTCTTACTTCTTTAAAGAAAAGTAGCAAACTTGACGTTGATAGTTCTTGTGATATTTGGTAGTGGCTAGCTGGAGGGTAAAAGAGACCGAAAGGATGATTGCCATTTGCACAGAACTAAGAAAGGTACAAGTTAATAAAATGAAAAGGATTTATGTACCATTTATTTGTTTAATGCTGAAAAGACTGTTTTGTCCTTGGAACTTTTCAGTTGGGAGCAACAAAGGAAGAATGACCTGATTATTGTATAATCACTCCACCAGAGAAATTAAATGTGACAGCGATTGATACATATGAGTGAGGTGTTTGTAATGTGATGTACCACACAAAAGCATAGTTACTGCATAATCTAGTTTTCATCACCAAGTTATCTTAATTCTATCATCAGTAGACCACAACAGAATGTAGTTTTCGTCTCTAGTTTTGATCAATAAACTCATCATACAATGTATGCTTATTTTCTACATAAAGTCATATGACATTTAACCATTTGGTTGACAAAATCCTTTTAAAAGAGCAGTAGAGGTGTATCTGTGTTAAATGTGTATGAGAGTGTGATACAAGGATGTTCTGTAATGCGTAATGAACAATAATTTTAGTTCTGAAACAAAATTCACCGGAAGATTTAGAAGTTCTGAAACAAAATCATGACCGGCTAAGTTCACAGAAGAGTAGAGAAGGAGGAACCGAGGAAGGGATTTAGGGAGGATCAAGGATAGTACCTGCACAGGGTCAATGAGAAAGATGACCGGAAGAAGCAGCAGTCGACGGCGACAACCAGATAGCGACGATGTGCGAAGAAGAAAGATTCAATGGAGAGATCGAGAAAAATAGAGCAAAAAAGAAGAGAGAAGAATGTTACCTCTGATTTAGGGAGGATCGAGGTAGGGATGAAGCCGATCGAGAAAAATCTACCGGTTGATGGAGCAGGCGGCGAACAACAAAGCTTCGATCGATAATGACGTAATAAGACTGGTTGATCTGAGGAATGAGGAATGCGATCGATATGATCTGATTACCTCTGATTTGGAGTAGATTAGAATATTTTCTATATCTGTTAAAAAGAAACAACAAAAATACCTAATTAACATGAAATAACAGATGCTTACCGTGATACAAGAATACCAAGGAAATCGTTTAGGGCTTGGGGCAGTACTTGAAATGGGGTTCGAGTTTGCAAAAATTACCAATGAAATCAGAATGTTATGACCGGCGACGAAGTGGCTAAGCAACGGCGGCAGCGGCAGCAGGTTGAGAGAGAGGAAGAGATGCGATCGGCGTCCGGCGATGGATTTGAACTCAACAAAAATACCTCTAATTTGGGAGGAAGTAAATTGGGGTTATTGGATTTACTAATTTGCCCCTAATGAAACATTATTGAAACAAACTGAAACATTATTGAAACAAACATGCGGCAATTCCTTTGACCATTTTTTTTAACTAAAAAATCAAAATAAAACATTTTAATTCTTTTTTTAGAACAGCTAGTACAATAGAGGGTAAATAAATTTTGATTTAGAGGTAATAATTTCCAAAGTCGGGATAATATTATTATAAGAAAATTAGCAAATGTATGTCATCAAAATCTAAAAATTGAAGCTAAAATATTTATAATGTAGAAATTATGTTATAACTAAATTTTCAAAACAATTAAAAATAATATTTTATTTTTGTTGTTGAGTTTTCAAAGATAATTGTGTATTTTTAATATATTTTTTTCAATTATCTTCTATATTTTACTACGGAAACATATTCCGTAACTACTTAACTACAAAATTTTCCGTAGCCAAATACCTATGGATTTTGATTTCGTTGCTATTTTGCAAATTCACGTTTTTGTAACAAATTCCATAATAGATTAGCTACAAAATTTTATTTTGTAGCAAATTTTCCTAGCAAAATAGCTACGGATTTTTATTTTGTAGCCAATTATGTAGCCAACTAGCTACATACATGGATTTTGTAACAAGTTTCATAGAGAACTAACTACAACCAAAAAACTTGTAGCATTATTTGTAGTAAACTAGCTACGGATTTTAATTTCGTAGCAACTATTCAAGATTTAGCTACGGAATGCAATTCCGTAGCCATTTCCGTAGCCATTTCCGTAGCAAATTAGTTACAACCAACCATTTTGTAACATATTCCGTAGTAAAATAACTATGAATTTAGATTTTGTAACAACTTTACGTAGCTATTTAAGATTTAGCTACATAATGCAATTCCGTAACCATTAATGTAGCAAAATAGCTACGACAAGTCGTTCCGTAGCATATTCCGTAGTAAAATAGCAACGGATTTTGATTCCATAATAACTTTCCGTAGCTATTTAAGATTTTTCTTGTAGTGTCTTCTTATTTAATTGTTTTGTTTTTTTTAAAAAATAAAAATACTATAACTTAGTTCAACATATTTCATAACGAAACTACAATGAAAACGATATTTATTGCTGTTTTAAGTTACTTCTTAGGCCATCCGTTATACTCTCCACGACAACGGTCGTGGAGAGCTTCCAGATCGATCACCACCACCCACCACAAAGCCATGGAGTATCCTCCACAAAGAACAAAGAGAGAGAGAGAGACAGAGGTAGAAGAAGAAGAGCTGAGAGAAGAAGAAGCCCTGATTGGGCGTTGTCGTTCGTCTTCCCCACCACAGACCACCACGAAAACACCCGACCACGGTAGGCCGGGGTGGTGTGCACGAACAACGCTCGTGGCCACGTAGACCACGAGCCTCTTCGTCGTTGGTATACCCGAAGGCCTTAGAAGGCGCACGTATCAGAGTTCGTTTGGTCTGGAAAAGGATGGCCCCCGCTGTTAAACAGCACACAAACATGAAACATCGCCACAAAGCTTGTCCCTAGACCTATACGACTTCATACAAAGGTTTAATCATTTTGTCAGTGAACAAATTGGTGATCAATTAAGACACTATGTATCCATGAAGCTTTTATATGTTATGTTTGAAATTATTTTATAATCATGTATTTTGGATCAAGTATGCTGATTTATTTATTGCTCTTTTTATTAAGCTCATGTAATCATGTATCATTGTTTTAACCATCAACTGATAAAAAGTAACAGGACTTTATATTTTGTATGGTATTCGGAAAATATACTTTATAGTAATATAAATAGAAAAAGTGTATTTTATAAAGATAGTAGGAAAAACAAATTTTAAGACTAAAAATATGTAATCTCTAAAATACATATATTGGAATTAAACAAATTTATATAATTATTAATAGAAAAACTCGTTGTGTAGTGAGTATTTCATGTTTATGCCTATACACTAATCAGTCTCATATAGATGGTGAGAGTAATGGTGGTTGGAGGTTGTTAAAGTGAGATTGTTTTATGATCTGTGTCGTACATATTCTATCATACAAAAAAATATTGCATAATTTCTAAACTTCAAAATCTATAATATAATTTTTAACTAGATTTCAAGAATTTCACAAAATGACTTAATTAAACAAAAAAAGAAAAAACTTATAATTGAACTGAATGATACGGTGATTATCACACATCATGTTTGATGTAAATGACGAATCAAAGAGTTGTATAACGATATTATTTGAAATTTTATATATTTTAATAGTCTGTTCATATTTACATACTTTTAATTCAAGTCGATTAAGTTTTTGTAATGATTAAAGAGGTTAAAAATCACAAATTTGAATATTGGTCTCCTTGTTAATGTTAATTAATTAGTTTTCTTTTTTTGGCTTCTAGACAAAGTATTTTCCGACAAGAAAACGAAGAGACCGTGTTAAGACCAAGACTTAACTTGAAGGGCCCACATAACCCCCACGATTTCATGGTGCACTGGCCAGTAAACATGTAAACCACTCATGAAATGACACGTAGCGATCTTCCATTGGTTATGGTTGTTGCCTCTCCTGCTATATAATCAACACGACGCTCAACACCTTTACAACGACAACGCGTTTTTAGTTTTTAACATTCGCATTTTTCATATCTGTAAAGGTAATCGAAACTTCTCAGTTTTCAGTCAGATCACTGAAGCGTCTCTCCGGCGTAATGTCATCGGTAACGTCGGAATTCACCGTCACCGGAGGAGGCAGTGGTGTCGAATTTGATGAAATAGAGCTCACATTAGGGTTACCAGGGGAGTCGCGAGAGAGGAAGTCCGGAACAAAACGACTGTTTTCAGATGTAGTTGATTTGAAACTAGGTAACTATGGAGAACAAGAGGCCATTGAATCCGATTGCGAATGCTCGGATTTGGACTCGAGAAAACCTCCGTCGAAGTAAGTAAATAAGTAATTAATCTCTTTGATATGTTAATTTACAGAAAGGATCGATTATGGTGAAGTAATCGGATAATTTTACAGGGGACAAGTGGTTGGATGGCCGCCGGTGAGATCCCATAATAGGAAGAACACGATGAAGATGAATCATTGCAAGTATGTAAAGTGGCTGTTGATGGAGTGCCTTATTTGAGAAAAGTAGACCTAAAATCTTACACAGGATACCAACAGCTTCTTTGTGTTTTCGAGGACATGTTTTCCTGCTTCACCATTGGTAAGTACGCTGTTGCACATTATTGATTGTGTAACGATTTATGCTGATTTGGATTTCTGATTTCATCATATTAACAAGTTATTTTGATTAATTTTCCAGGCAATCATGTATTGAATGAGAATAAGATGATAGATTCCTTAAACACATCGGATCATATTCCAACGTATGAAGATAAAGATGGCGATTGGATGTTAGTCGGGGATGTTCCATGGAAGTAAGTTAATTTGCATATACATTATACATATACATTATACACTAGCTTTAACTGTATAGTTTTGAAGATTTAATTAAACCATTTTGTGTTGTACTTTTTCAGGATGTTTGTTGAAACATGTAGGCGAATAAGATTAAGGAAAAGCTCAGAGTAGACTTGGTCTATTTTGTCTACAATCATGATTATGAAGGGGTAATTAGTAATTAAGTGGGTAATGAGTTTTTTAATTTTTATGTTATAGCTTCTTTGAAAATCTTGAATTCTTGATGATTGACGACTTTTGATTTAGGAGATATAACATATTTGTAGAGGAATTTGTTTAGGAATAGAATATAACTTTATTATATGTAATTACACATGGAGTTTTAATTTGTTTCGGATCCATGCAAATGGGGAGTTTTCATGAACAATAAAAAGCATTTAATGTAATTGCCCGCATATGTGACGGGTTACCATATTTGAAAAAAAGTATAATTGTTTGATTCGACAAACAATCTAATTTATTCTTAATCAAACATATAAACACATAAGGTTCAAAATAATTATTCAATATTATGAAGAATTCAATATAATTTTTTCAGATTTTAAAATTCATGTTTATTTATTTTATTTTCAATACTAATAGAAAATGAAGAGTTATAAAAAAACATTACACTTTTTGTATATAAATGTCATGTCACCAGTTTTTTATAAGTACATTTAAAAAAAAAATGTTTGTTGCGATAAGTTGGAGAGAAGACTATAACTATATGGTAATTAAAGAAGATGCTGTGTTTTTCTCACTTTTCAGTTATATTTTTAATATTTTTATAGTATTTGATTTGATGGATGAGATGATTTTATCATTTTAGTAAGATATATGTACAAAAACTTAAAATAACATAGAATAAAGATGCAAGTGTTTCAACAGAATCCAATGAGATACCACTATTATACCAGATTACCAATAGAATTGCTCATTTATTTATATCCAATGAATTGCTTATTTAATTTATGCTTTTGGTTTTGCAAATTAAATCCATGGCTAAAACTAAAAGGTAAAAGCTTTTTGGTAGACCAAAACGACCCATATCCCGCATTTCCTCCCATATTGTGGGCTTTTATCATTTTTTGTATTGACATAGCAACCCATTTCTCTCATTCAAGTCGAACTTTATCAGGTTGTAGCACAAAATGAGTTGTCATCTGATGATAATCATGAACATATAACGAGTTCAACTTGAATTTTTTATCGAACATTTGAGCCTTATATACCACAAGCTTTAATTAATATATGTATAATTAGGGTTGCGAAACACTCGTAAAAATGTCTTGGATCAATTCGACCGAACCCAAACAACTTATATCCAATTGATCCAAGCATATTTTGACTCGTCAAACCGGTTTGATCCGTATATTTCCATTTCTAGTTTTGTTTGATATATTTAAACATCCTTATTTATTAAAAACTATCCAAATAATTGAAAAAAAAATGTGACTATTGTTGATGACCCATGCCACACCCATCCCATGGCATCACATGAGAGGTAAACCATGGAACATCAACGACTAAATGGAGCATGCCCATGTTAGTACATATGACCTTCATGAAACCGATGCAATTCAATGTTCAATTTGATCGCTTAATTTTGGTTGACCAAAGTTAATTAGATTGGATCGGTTGATAA